TGATAATAATAATACTAGTGGCGATTAGCGCACACACAATATTATAATAAAAATACAACAATAATAATACTGGCAATTCGTGCCCATAACAAATTCCGTAAAAGAGAAAAAATGTTCGCAAACGCGCAACGGACAATTCACGACGACGTGCAGAGAGCGACAAAAATTGCGGCAGCCGTGTTAAATTACGTGCAACTGTGAGCCGGTGACAGCAGATAACGCGCCGGTAACTGATTATATAACTCACAACACAAAATATAATTAAAACAAAAATAAATACAAAAATAACGGCTATAATGTGCGCGAGTGTTTGTGTGTCGGTCGGCGACGAGATATTTACGTACGCTCCAAACAGGTACCAAATTATAATATATTGGCGCCGACAATACTGCCATGTACTTATATATTCATATTTTAAAGTTGCCTTGAATAATTCTAAATCAATTGAAGTATGTCCAATATCAATTCTATCCAATTTGAATCGTGGATCCAAGGCAGTTCACATTTTTAATATAATATTGTTGCCGTAACGATTAGTGAGTACAGTCATCATTGTTTCCAGCATTTTTTTTTTTTCAAAACTAAGCAAACACTATTTTCTTCGGTAAATACTTGTTCATCAACTTCTAATATATTTTCAGTATCATATTAACTACAGGTAATATGGCTGAAGCTGTAACATAAGACTCGCCTGCTAAATTATCAGAAATTTTGGTAATCGGACTTAATTTTGAAATAACTATTTTTAGAATTTTGACTTAGTGTTCATCAATCATTCTATTCTATCTATTCGATTTTATTAACAACAGTCCACTGAATAACTTAAAATGTATCATTGATAAACATTTGATAGACAGTTTTTCAGAGTTTAGCAGTCTTTTTAGATTATTTCTTACACTCCTTGTTAGTACAGCAAGTGCTGAATGAGTAATGAGTTCTTTAAAAAGAATAAAAAAAAAACATTGTTGTGCAACTTTAAGTGAAAAAACCTTAAATGAATTCAGTATATTTTTATCGAAAGATCGGTGGCAAATAAAATAAATCTAGAAACAACTATTGAAATATTTGCTGAAGCCAGAAAACAATTTACAATTACTTGAATTACCGAATTACATTAGTATAACACTACGTGTTTAACATTATAATTTTTTTTTGTTTAAATTTAATGATAATTTCGATAAGGTTATTTAGAAATAATAATATATCCAGTTTAGACGATTTAAATAAATATATATATATATTTTTTTTTGTTCAATAGCTATCTAGTTTAACAGTATTTTAAGAGAGAAGTCACGAATTAGTATTTACGACGATTCATAATTCTTGGGTCATTTATATCATATGTCGCCTGGGCTTTTTTCTTTAAATCCGCCACTGATAATGACTAAATTGTAAAAGTACCTACTAATATTTAACTTAATACACAAATACGATTAATACGAATGACAAATCTTACAAGGTATGGTTGATACTTTAATAGCAGATAGACGTAAGATAAGATAAACGCCTAACAGCCATATAGAAGTAAATACAAATATCCAAAATTCCCAAAGTGCTAAAAATTGAATTTCATTCGAACCGTCTAAACAACGATTAGTCGGCTTGATTATCCGAAAAATTCGATTATTTGGCGATTAATCGAATTTTATACAAACTATAAAATAATCGAATGGGAAAAAAAATTATCGTAATAATCAATTAACTGAAATAATCGAACAGCCCTAGTATAAACCCATTATTTCAATCAAAAATTGAATTTATGTATTTCTAAAGCATGCGAAATACAAGGAATTAGTAACATAGTTAGTATTGATGGCTCTATATCTGTTTTTTATCGTCATCGGCAAAACGCTCAAATATAATGTTAGACTTAATTTCTAAAGATGATTCAGCATCAGTCCTAATAAAAAAAAACTAAAAGCTATATGTGCTACTCGCTGGGTCGAACCCCTTGATTCTATAATTACTTTTTGAGAACTATACTCTTATATTACAATTACTTTAGAAGAATTGGAGAAAATATCAGACTCTGAGACTGAATGTAAAGTTGTTAGCTATGGTGCAAGTATTAGACGAAGTGACTTTTTAATATTTTTAGAAATTGTAGCTGAACTATTCTCTTATACTAAAATGCTAAGCTTAGTATTACAAAGTTCAAAATTAGAGTTGTCTAAAGCTTATTCACATGTAAAAGATGTCATTGATGTTATTGGAAATATTAGAAAAAATTCTGTAGGTATCTGAGTTTGAAAAATATTTTGAAAATGCTTCCGATAAGTTAGCTCTAGTTGGTGAAGAAATAAGAATACCTCGTTTATGTGACCGTCAAACAACAAGATCCTATATTGACACCAATATTCCAATAAAATAGTATAGGATAAATATTTTTTTTCCCTTTAACCGATTATTTGAATTCTCAGCTAAATACAAGGTTCAACGAAAAACGTAGCGAAGTAGTTAACACTTTTAGAAGATTTTATTCCATCAAATATTGATAAATATGATAAAGAAGATTTAGTTAAAGCAGCAATGGTGTACTTTGAAAATTGGTCTGGTCAAAAAATTGATATAAAATCAGAAATTTAAATTTGGAAAGCTCATTGGCAAAAAGAAAAAAATATAAAACCAGATACAATCATGGGAACGTTAAAGCATTGCGATCAGATTTTCCTAACATTCGAATATTATTAGAAATATTTGCAATTATACCGGTCACCACAGCTAGTCCTGAAAGAAATTTTTCAACATTAAGGCGCTTGAAAAATAATATGAGGTCAACAATGGGTCAAGAGCACTTAAATGGTTTAGCAGTTTTTAATATTTACAAAGAAATTTCTGTAAATGAGATTATGGATATATTTTCAAAAACATCTAGAAGGATGAAGTTGGATGATTAGTCCAATTAATATATTATTTGACTTATTTTATTACTTTATTTATTAGTAATATATTTAAATTTTAATGTACAATTAGAATATGATTTTTTTATTGTCTAAATTTTAACACTTTCTTATATGTATTTGAAATGTAAAAAATTTCAAGAGCTCCCACATTTCATTCCTAGATCCGCCCCTGCATACATGGATTGTCAAAAAATTATAGAATTAAAGACCATAATATAAATTAGATAACATAAGTGTTATTAAGTGATTAATAAAATATTTATTAGTAAACTACAAATTTTTACTAAAAAAAAAAAAAATTTAACTAGGTTAATAATAAGAAAAAACAACATTCATTTATGTATGAATAGTATATATTTAAAAATTACATTGGTTATATTGTTAAATATTAATTGAAATTGTGTAATTAAAGTAAATTAAAATATGCCAAGCTCATTAAATTGATAAAATTTAGTTTTACAAATTAAATTGAACATATTACTGGATAGACTTTTTTTTTACTTACAGACATATTTTGATTTTCATAATAACATAAGTATATTTCAAGATATACAAAATTAACAAAATTGTATTTCTTTGTATTTAAATACAAATAAAAAAAAAAAAAAAATCCATGTATGTAAACATATAAATGTAACAATATCCAAAAATTAAAAATATAGATAATATTTAGTAGTCATGTGTTATAAAAAATGTTACCAAAATAATAATTTATTGAAATATAAACAGAAATGACAAAATCTGAACATTTATAATTTAAATGACATTTGAAACTACTGAGACAGTTGTAACTTATTTTATTAATTTGAAATTAAATACTTGTAAAAATTTAACAGTAAAAATATACATATAAATTATAAAAAATGCATTTGTGGAAAACAATTAATTTTTGTAAAAGTATGACTAGGAAAAAATGATTTCATAAAAAAATTTATTGGTAGTAATGTAACACAAGTTACATTAAATGTAAAAATAAACATTTTTTGATTAAAGGTAAAAATAGATAAAATTATGAGGGAATTTTAATGGTAATAACAAAATATAAAATTTAAAATTACAAACAAATTTTGTTGTGATAAGTTATATAGATCATAACAAATTAAGTAAAAGAGATACATCAGATTACTTATATTACTTAGGATATTATAAATTCTACAACTTAATACTAAATAATTGAATTAATAACAATGTTAACACAATTTAATTTGTTTACAAGAATTGTAATTTCATAATCAGTATTAAATTAATGTACAATATAAACTGTTTACCTATAGTATTAATTCATGACTATAATTCTTTGGTGCCAGTTGCTATTTAAATAGATTTTTATTTTTAATAAATAAAAATATTACTGGTCCCTTTGAAATTGTTATGCATTGATATTTATAATTTTAACTGAACATTAAATAACAAATAAAATTTAAAAACATAAAAGTTGTAACAAATATTGAAAATAATAATCTTTTACAGAAAAAATTAAATAACTTATTCAACAGCCCAAATTTAATTGAATCATTTATTTTTATAATTTAATATGATCTGAACTATGTATATTTTAGTTGATTAAAATCCATACAGCAAGACTATATATTTTACTGAAAATAATAATAATATAACAATTCTAAAACCTAATAATTCATATTATTCTTAAGAAGTAATATAATATTTATTACTTTGAAATGTTTAATATGCATGAATATAATAAAATATATTAATAGAAAAAGTAATAGTGAAAAAAGTAAGTACTAAGGACATTGATTATCCCATTAGTTACTATTACTTATTTGAAATTCACAATAATCCAAACTCATTTCCCCCAATTAAAATAATGGGTTTCCAGCTGTATACTATTGAAAATAAATAAGATTTTGTAATTTTTCCAATGTACACATCAATTAAAACAATGAACAGTAATATTACTCACATTATTTATAAACCATGAATCATTCAACCACAAGCACCTTAATTACTCGTATTATATTATATTTTTATTTGTATAAGAGTGTTATAAAATATAAAATATTAACAAATAAATTTAGGGATCAAAGAACTTCAATAAAAATATATATAAATATGATTAGTATTATGTTATACAAATAAAAAATAAAAAAATAAACAATTGTGATGAATGTCTTAAATTATAGATTATTTTTGTGAAAGTAAAATATGGTAGATAATAAACTAATTGATTATAAACCAATTATACAATAGTATGAAAAAAATTGGTAAGTAATAAATATAATTTAATTTATGTACATATCAGTATGGGGTGATTGATGCCGTTGTTTGTTTATGAACTGTGACATTACCTTGTGCAATTTCTCCTCGTTGTAATGATTGATATTTTAACAAAGCATCATATCCATATGCAAACATTGCAACAAATCCAAACAACTAAGAAAAATATAATCAAAATTAAAATCCCATTATTTATAAGATAATTTAAGTTATTTGAAGTTTTATAAATTAAAAAAACTTAAAAAAAAGAATTTAAAAAAAGTTGTTCGCAAAAACAGTAATCAGAAGAAATAATTTCAATTTCCAATTTATAAAAATAATAGGAAATCATACATACCAAACTTATCATGAAGCTAAAATGCAAACCAGTATAAGCAGCAGCAGAAGATGCTGATATAAGATACAATATTGGCCATACAACATTAAAAAACATTTCCTGAAATGTAATTTTCATATAGTTGATATAGTACAGAAAAACAATGTAATGTCAAAAAACTTACAATTTTAAGCCATGGTATTTTGTAAAAACATTCTATCACATGGAATAGATAAAATACCAGCATAAATAGAGAAAACCAAAATCCAAACATTGATATTGATGTAACAGCACTACTTTGGTACCACATACTGTATGTTGAAAATGATGCAGCTATAAGACTTAATACAACAAACACCTAGAACAATTATTACAATTATTTATTATTAGTATTTTACATACTACATAAAATAAAAAAATATTTTATATGTAAATAATAATATATTAATAGCTTAATTTTATTTGTTTCTTTTATCAAAATTTAAATTGAAAATAAATATTTACTCGTCAAATAACAATATTTATTTAAAGTAACTCAATATAATAAATTCTTGGTCTAAGTTTTATTCATGTAAGAAGTTATAGTAAGTTTTCTTTCTTATGACATTGTATTCAGATATATTTTTAGGAATAATAATAGTTCTAATAAATAATGTTATATGATAAAACAATACATCAATATTCAAACATAAATTTTTTTCAGTAATTTTATTTTGAAATAAATTATAAGTATTCAATATACTTTACTTTGTATTAATAAATAACTCAATTAAGAATAATAATGAAAAATCTTTAATAAAATAATAATAAAATAATTATAATATTGAGTTCATTAATTCAATTTTAACCATCATTTTTATAACATTAAAGGTAAAATGTTATCATAAAAACATAAGCTTCAACAAATTCAATTATAAAATGGACAAGAACTTTAATCAATTACAGTACACTCACGTTTTTTTAAAAAAAAAAAATATTATATATTATTTTATTGAAAATGTATAAAATGCAATTTACACCTTTTACAGCATATTGCTGCGAGATTATAAATTATTTTATATTTTTAATACTTGCTCACTTGTAATGTTGAAAATATTTTTTTTATCTTAATTCAAAAATTAAAATATTACCTACTAACCATGCTACCAAACGTTTATATTTTTTAATATTTTTCCAATTTTTTTTTTCACAGAGCTAAATAGCTAATACCTTTCCAAATGTCAACATGTCGCCTGATTTTTCATTTTTTTGTCTGAGGGGAGGGAGAGGGGAATTGTATTCTTATTGATATTTATATAAAACAAACTGGTAGAAAAAAAATATGAACCACAGAATATACTAACTTATATGTACGAACTAGCAGTATCAACAAATTGGTTGGAAAACTCATACAAAATGGTATAAATATATATGATAAATACTTACAATTTGGGCGATTTTTAGTTTTCCAGGAATAGTGTACAAATATGTGTTGTCATATCTTAGGTTTGAGATAATTTCAGTATTGGTAACTGTAGTGGTTGTAGTATGTTGACTAGGAAATCCTGGATCGGCCATATTTTATAATTTAGACTAAACGCTGTAAACTATAATCGTATATTTTTAGTATTTAAACACATTATTTTAGAACTACAGAATATTGGTTGATTAAATAACGAGAAAAGTTTAACACAAATCATATGACATGCCAATTATTATGGTACCAAGTAGCGGTGAATAATTAAAGACCTAATGAAAAACATATACCTAACTCGAATAGATGGGTTATCAAATAAAAAACCGAAAGAAAACAAAACATAAAGAAACAAAGAGTTATTTGTTTTTTAACGATTGATTGGTGATTGTTTACTAAAATGATGTTCTACGACAATGATATAGGTAATATAATCATAAAAATACTTAATGCGGCGCAGTCTGTAGAATTGAAACAAGACGCAAGGTTATGTTTACCGCACGAAACGTACGGTCCTCTCAAAGTCATTGGCCAAGACGTACATGCATAAATTAATGTCGGAACACGCAAACCCATCATCAGAGCGGTCAAATACGTTAATTCCCCACCGACGTTCTAACTCGTACGGAATAATAATAGGGCAGGTACACGCCCACCCGGGGCGCGGAGGAAGTGTTTGTAGTCACCGCAATTAATTCAGTAATATAAAAATAATTGTCCTTGTACGAATTGCAACACGAGAAGTTAAACACACGCACACATGTCATACCCGAAGGGCCGTGAAGAAATAATGATAGATAAAAAGAAATTGTATCGAGAAAACATGAGAACGCGGATTTAAAATAGGTGACGGGGGAAAGCAACGCGCGCGCGATAGGGAGGGATGGTTGGAAAAAAATCGAATGGACAAAGAACGCGGGCAAATCGGAATAGGTTAGCGGACGACGATCGCACCACACGCCTCCGCCTCCGCACGGTCGACGATAAAAACGATCGCGAAGTATTCGCGACCAAATTAGGCAATTTGCGAATCGATACCGACAACGTTCGAAGACGAGACGCCGCGGGCCGTCGTCGGCAATAATAAATACTTATTTTTCAAGACCTGTTGATGTGACGGCGAACGGTTCGGGAACTGCTGGAACACTGCTGATGTAAATGTGTAATGGAAACAACAACAACAACAACAACAACGCTATGCTATATTACCGTTGTATTGGTAAGTGACGCACGAACGTGTACCTAAGAACGCGGCGACTCGTTATCGGCGTCATCGCTCATGTAGTCTCGTCAGACGGCGATGACCGATAACACGGGTTTTCCCCTTCCGGTACGCTGGCAGACCCCCCCCCCCCCGACGACCATGGTCGAAAACTCGGCTGCGGCGAGCGGAACTCTCGGTGTCCGACGGACACGGGCCACGCGAAAATATGAAACGTGTCACGGTGCAGGCGCGGATCCAGCCTACCATAACGGGAGGGGCGGATTATAAATAAGTATACTCTATGAGTCGTCTGGGGCTGACCGGCCGACGGTTGTCGTCGATCATACGATCACAATAATATTATTCTTATAGACTATTATTATTATTATTTATGTTATAAAAATATAAAACGAAAATGTGTGATAATAACAATACATTCAAATGTTATTTCGCAAGATAATGCAATTTAATAGTACATCAAATTAAATTAACACATTTTGATACGGCCAACGGGAGGGGGGCGCCCCTACAACCCCCCCTGGTTTTGCGCCTGTCACGGTGACTCCTAAATATGCCGACACCCTCCACTACACCCACACAACTGCAACGGCGGCGCAGCCCACTGTGATAAGAAATACTGTTGGTGATTAGCTTATAATTATTATTTTCATTTTATTGTATTTCACTATCTATTAATAAATATAAAAATTAAATTATCATATCTATGAAGCATAATATATCTATACATTTAAAAAATTATTAACTTAAACATCATTATTATTATATCATCATACGAGTATTGGGCGACCGCAGGAAATTTATCAGGGGGGGCGGAGTCATAATTAAATCGAGCACCAAAAAGTATATTAAAAAAAAAAATGTATTCTTAGCAAACAATAAAATATGTCAGAATTGTACACACTTTAATCGTTATCAAATAAAAACTGAAGTCTTAGCAGTTGTTCGATTGCAAATCTTGTTATTAACCGTTCGATTAATTTTTTCTCGGGGGGGGGGAAATTCCACGTCTTGCCCCCTTCCGGGCGCCCATGGTGGCCGATTTTCTCTGTATAATTTATTAATATGTGGCAAGTATAATAATTTGAAAAATTGTTTTAAACATTTTTTATATGAATGGGTCTCTCTGGCTCCCTAAATTTTGTCTGTTTAAATTAGGTCATTTAAGAGGGAGGGGCGCAAAATAATTCTTGCACTGGGCGCTGAAAGAGCTAAAACTGGCCCTGGGTATCGTTAAAATATAATCTGGTGGAAAATTGAAATGTACACTTTTGGTGGAAATGTGTTACGCCACTTATCACAGTGGGTTGTGCAGCCATTGCTGCTGTATGAACGTAGTGGAGGGAGTCAGAATATTTATGAGCCACCGTGACACATTTTAAAGTTTTGTTCACGGGCTACCGTACGAACAATAATAACGTTCACTGGCTACTTTCCTCCAATCCGTCGTCCACACCTTCTCACAAAAACGGTGCGCTAACCAACATCACACCGGACGGCGGTCGCCTGTGCTATTTGGCAACGGTACGCAGTTAACAAAAAATATTTTATTAATTAAACGTAACCAGTATACTATAAATCAAATAATATTATTTTTCCTCCGAAAATTTGGGCGCTGCAATCTTCTAACGGAATACATACGACAAACGCAAATGAAAGTTTTTATTCAGATTTAAATTCTAATTTTTATCACCAACATCCAAACATCCAACACCAACATTTTAAAATTATTGAAACTCTCAAAATTTGTCAAGTATCAAAATAAGAACCACAAATAGTACCTAACACAAAAAAAGAAGTACCAGTATAAATATAAAAGATTAAAATTAATGAATAGAAAAAATTTACATTACACAACAAACAACATTAATTAATACGATTATGTTAAATTTTTAAGTTTCAGAAATAGAACTTGTGAGGTGACAACGTACGATGAATAGATAAAATTTGATCAGGCGCAACGGATCCCGTCGTAACTTACAAGGCCCGTAATAAGTATAATAAAAATAGGATCACCAACCTACTGAGCGAGACCATGAGGTCGGACTACAATAGAATTTTAAGAAAAATAACGCATTTAAACATCGAAGTTATCGCGTTATTTTCAAAATACAATAGTTAAAAATATATAAATGCACTGTTTAATTTTATGTAGCGATTGTGTTCGACCACACACAATTAAACCTGTTCGATTCCATACGACCTAACGCACGGTTTTTATTTTTTTAGAATAAAAGCATACATTTCATACATAAAACAATCAAATAAATGTCAATAAAAAATGTATAATGCGAATACACACGATGTATAAAAAATGAATACTACAATAATACAAAAACAATTAAGATGTCTACGAGCGACACAAAAATAACGTGTATTCGGTTGTATACTATTCATGAAAACAAACCACTGACTTTTGTATTTCGTGTTTTGCTCGGAGTAAAATAAGAACCAGACCGATCAAAACCGATAATGATTTTGTTTTGTATTGTCGTGTTTTGATGTTGACTGATGAGTGTGGGCGCGTCAATTATGTTAGACGTTTTATAATCGCTTCCAAACAGCTCCGAGTACCTAGCTCCCAAGTAGCTCGGAACAGTTTTGCTCGTTCAGTGTGCGCCCGACCTTATAATTGGTGTATATATTGACTTATATACTAAGACTTTTTTTTAACACTACACCACTGTACGTAACGGGTAGAAATAATAATACCCCGTCAAACGGTAATACTGTTCTACGTTTCCCACTGTTCCTCTCACGCTCTTTTTCTCAGTCGCTCTCTCTCACTCTTTCTCTCTCTCGCTCCACCCAGCCGATGGCGTGCAAACGTTATGTTATATTATTGCACGGGCTACACGCACACATACACACACGCGCTCGTTGTGATTTACGAGTGGCACTATCCGCTGACCCGTCGGTGATTTGATTACGGTCGTATCGCACGTAAAAAGTTCACCCCCATATTAAGAGTATAACCCCGAGTTGAATGTGTACGATTTGCAAAATTTAATGGACGGAGAAAAATGCACAGAAAACATTGATTTATCTCGTACTATGTGTGATTTTATTTTTCACATGAGCCGGTCCAGACCACTTTGAATTTTCGATCAAACTTAATTGTTGGTTTAAATTCGAATTTTCAAGTATTGCAATTGTGCCGAACCATGAGATGATAATGTACTTACTTGGTTGTATAATGAAATATCGACAGTGAAATAGCATTAAAGCTCTGATCCCTGTAATTAATATAAAAATAAAATTCGCACACCATTATTGTGTATTGTGTATAACATGAAAAGTATAAGAAAAAAATTATAGTTGATAACGAACAGACAACAATAAAATTATTTAGAACAGCGTATTACATTGCAATGAATAATATACCGTTTTCTGATTATAATGATTTAATAAAATTACAAGAAATAAATGGTATAAGCCTTAAGTAAAGTACTTCATTTTAGATATTCTGCGACAAATGTAATAAATCGCATATCAAATAAAATTATAAAGCAGTTAATACTTAGGATTGTAACATTAAATTAAAAATAAAGTGTTCTTATTGATGAATCGATAAGCTTAAGTAAAAAAAAAATATTCATGTAGATTGTTTAAAAATGTATTTAGATAGTAATGATCCCGAATTTATATTTATAGATTTATGTGAATTGCAATTACAAGATGCTGAACAAATAGAAAAACAACCATTGAACGTTTTAAAATCAAATCGAATAACATGAAGAATATTTACAAAATAATTGGGAAAACCTACAGATGGAGCTAGTGTTATAGTTGGTAAAAACTCAAGTGTTTTAACTCGATTACGTCAAAAGTATCCAACAATTGTTGCTTGGCATTACTTTAATCATAGTCTTGAACTATCAATATCTGCTACAATAAAATACGTTCGAGGAATCGACTATTTTAAATTCTGTATTTATATGTTACAGAAGCATACCCAGGAATTTTTTATAGGAGGTCAAAATTTTTTATTTTATCTGTTCTTTAATTATAATTATAGTTTAACTCAATACCAACAAATAACTGTTAATATACTATAGTATGGTTTGTACATTATAGGTATATTATATAATCTATAAACTTTATATATTGAAGATAATGAGAAATTAAAATGTTCTATATACTATTATTATACTATTTACTACTAACCGAGCTTCTCCCCCCTTGGGTACGCCCTTGATATGTTATATAGTCTGTACAGTCAATCACCAAAACATTCTCATGCTTTACAAATCATCTCTTTCTTTACGAATCATCTCTTCCCTCTTTTACGCTATTGCCTAATATCTTAAGGTTTTTACCCTGAGCTGGTGACCAGTGGTGGATTTAACGGTTGTTTGGTCGGCGAATGCCGCCGGGGCTCCTTCCTAAGTTGTTTACTGAAGCCTAGAAAAATTACAGTTAATTTTTTTTAAATTTTACTACAGAAAAAAAAAAATTATAGTACAAACTGTAATATCGTTTACAATTACCATTTTTATTTATAACAAAATAATTTAAATATACAGGGAATACTCAGGAATACTCCGAATACTTCAAAAATAAAACATTTTATTTGTGAACAAAGTAGAAAAGATTGAATTTAGATAAGTATAGTTAGAAATACTGTCAACATTGATTATAGAATTCTATAGAATTTCCGTGTATGAACACTATACGAGTATATGAACTATGATTTATTATCAGTTTCGCTGCATCACGTTATTTCTAATGTACTATTTTCTATTTTCGTATAGTGGAACGCGAGTGTAGTGGGCAGCTTTGTAAAATAGCTAAGAATTTTAGTGATACATTTATTACGAGGCCCCTTTTTTGGATTTGCCGACTTCATTTAAACCTTTAAATCCGTCACTGCTGGTGACATTTAATATTGATTTATTCACTAACCGAAATAGTACAGAATTAAATCTATTATTAGGATGGGGCTACACGAGCATACAATACGATATACAGTATACAATATGTTACAACGGACAAACTTTTTGATATGTTTTTAATAAAATGTTATTATAATTTTCAACAATATACAAATAAATTAAATTTATTTTAATTAATATTTATTACAAATAACTAAATCTGAAAAAAAAATGGAACGGTTTTTTTGTAAAACGGCCTTAAACACTTTAAATAATAGTCCCCTCATATTATGACCATAATCCGGCCCTGATCACGTGATTTGACGTTCACATTTGAAACAATAAAAAATTAATTTGGGCGTTGATATGTTTGACGTACGTTGTACGTCCGTTGAAGAGATAATACGTCGATAAAATTTAATGTACATATTTACGTGCGCTATTTTTGATGCGCGTTACTCGTGTGACCATTCCTTAACCGATTATGTACTTTTACAAAGCACGTCAAAAAGTACTCACGTATAGACGTATATTATACGTCCGTGTGGCATCAGCCTACTTATAACTACTTATAACATATCAAATCAAATAATGAGTTTGCAACAAAAACCTCAACAAATAATAATACATATGGCGAATGCCAATGACGTCACTATCGTATCACACTAATATAGTAGGCATCAATATTTTTTCTATCTGGATTATATCACTAGCCTGTAAACTTTTTTTGTTTTATAATAAACAATGTTTGAAACGCATTGTCGATATTGTTATCTAATACATTAAACTGAACCACCTCCAAAATTATTTAGAAATTATCAACATTTTATACTCGGATTCAGTTGAGGTGCATGAAAAGTAGGTACAGGCCCTTTTCAATGTAATTAGTACATAGTTATTTATAAAAAGTTAACATATTTAATACTCGTATATACAAAATGGGTTATATTATAGGATATAATTATAAAATTTCGTCTTCCAAAATTTAAAAAGCTTAGGGAAATTTAATTAATTATAAGTAGATTGAATTAATCTGTATTTTTAATTTTCCATTGTATTGAAATAATTTATCGACTTAATAATAACAATAATTATACAATTATTTAAAATAGAAAAACTCTCGTTAAATAAGAAAAAAGTACAGATATACTAAAAAAATATGCGTAGCACTTATGATCGTTGTCTTTAACAATTTCCTGATAAAAAAAATCTTTTAAATTGCATTTATAGTAAAAATATATACATATTTTAATATAATGGTTCGATACTAACAATTGGCCATTATAAACAATAACGTTCGACGAAATTCGGTAAACATTATACATAAAACGAAAATAGATGTTTAAAACCTACTTATTGGTCATCCAATGATCAATAATAATATAACCGGTACATAATTTCTGCTCATTTAATTTTACGAACTGTTGACATTTGTATTAAACATTTATTATTATCATTTGTGAAGTTGTCATGAATTGATCTAGATTCAATATTTTTACGTAGATTTTGATTATTAACTATGCCATATTTGAAGTACGCAAAATATTTAAAAAAAATTGGATGCAAGTAACAATAGATGTAACATATGTTTTAAAAATATAGATGGGACGAATACCTCTAATATAAAATTCAATGTTCAGAAGTGGCACACAGTTATAATGTTATAATGTTTGAATGAATATATAATATATTTATAATTTTATAAACTATGGTTAAATATAAAATTAAAAATATGTATCTAGATTTGTATCTGAATTATATAAGTATATTATAGGTACATATGTTTGATAAAAAAGATGAATAATATTTAACTTGTCATATTTTACTTGATTTGAATTTCAAATTGAAAAAATATGAAATATGTAATCTAATATCGTAATTAACAAGCTGTAGACATTAGCGAAAAAGAAATATCGAATGATAAATTTTATATTAAATTAATATCGAAAATATCGATATTTTTTCATGTTGGTCTACTCGTAATCACCGCAGTGAACGTAAACGGACAACGGATCGTTTCGTATCGGTGAATACGTGGATGATGAGCAACTCACTGCAGTAGACACGTATTCCACATCGCAATAACGAGTGAAGTACGCACCGATAAATTAGGATAGGAAAACGTGAGACGTGACTGCCACAGATACACATTTCGCATGATACTACGCGGGTTTTTTTTTGATAACGTTCGTAATGTAAACACCAGATAATATCATGTTAAACATTATCAAGTCATCTTCGACTTTTGTCACGCTGTCGTTCCGTTATTGTTTCGCGTTCATTGATTTTGATTGTTATTTTTGGACCGATGTATTCATTGCTTTTGTACCTTAATATTATTAATATATTATAAAATCAATTATTAGCATATCATTTGGAAATCGGTTCGTTGACCGCGTCCCAACATCTATCAATATACAATAGTATATATTTTATTATTACATTTTGTTCGACTTAAAAAACTGACAATTGCCATGTATTTGAAGACTTGGAAAGAATTTGAAACTGCTTCGTACAATTTACTTCTTAAAGATCCAACCCGGGTGATTACTGTTTTATTATTTTGTTATTTTGTATTAAGATTATTGGCTCCACTTAAAGAAGAGAAAATACTAAAAATTAAGTTAGTTGAAAAAATTATTTGTTTACTCAGTCTTATCATTTTAAATTGTCAATTATTTTGTTAGTTTCTTGTGAATTGATACAACTAAAAAAATATTTAATTAACATAGTTTTAATAAAAGAGGAAATGTATGTTTGATTGAGTTTCATACTTACATTTTCTGCTATTCCATATCTAGATATCAAGATTATTTCTTTAAAAGGGTAGTTATTGAGTTCACTGAAATAACGCTTTACATAATTTAACTTTATTTTTATTCAAGTTCATTTGCTGTTTATTCGTGTTTAATATGTTATATAGGTTAGTTTAATTTTAAATAACAATTACAAAATGAATAGATAAAAACTTAAGCAAGTAATTTTTTATAATATATATTTCAATATATTTCTTTATCAGTAAATTACAATTGCATTTTCTTCATTAACATTAAACATAAATTATGTCTTAATAGAAGATTTACCAGATATTGTTGTCCAACCATTTAAGTACCTATATCACAATTATTTGTAATTATAATAACTACATTTTAACTGTTAAATGTTTTGGTGTTCAATTATGATTTAATAATTATTAATGCCCAGATTTTCATGCAAAAATTATTGTTGAATATTCACATATTCATGCATTGCTTAATTCATAAATTTGTTAAAAAACATTTGTGTGTCACAAAAAACTGAATATCTTATAAATAATTACAAAATGTGTATTGTAAAAGAAAATATGATAAACATCAACACGAGTTACAAAATGTAAGTTTAGATTTTCAGATTAAAAACTTCTGAGATTGTCATATACTATAAATTTAAATTAAAAACTTTTAACTATGTCTCAAAATATTTTAGATGCACTTTTAAGACAGATATTTATAGGATGTAGAACTTATACATTTCTTGGCATACAAACTAAGCAAACATATTTAAAAAGTAGTAAATAAAAATTTAAAAAAAAAATATGCGAATTAAAACCAAATTTAAAAGTTGAATTTATTATTAATTGTAAAATATTACTTCAATGCAATTTAGTTATTTTTTCTAAACTATAAAAAAAATGTACCATAAAAATTGATATAATGTGATGAAATCTTAACATTTGTAATCAAAATTAAATTCTTGATTAATTGTAAAAGAATATGCTGGAAATAAAAATCTGAGCCTTAACAATAATAGATGTATATTTTTTTATTTAGACTTAATTAATTTTAATTATATTATAAATAAATATAAATTCAATTAAAAATTGATTAAAATTGAAATGTACACTAATTTTTATTATAAGATAAAGAAAATATATTTAATAAAGATTTAATAAATTATTTTAAAAATGTAATAACATATTAAATAATCAAATGTACATTTTACTTATCAGAATAAAATCAAATAAGGTTTTACAGTAATCCCATATTATCCGCGTTTGAGTCCATGATAAAATGTTATTAATAAGATAATGCTTTATCGTTATTATTTGAAAATTTTAGATACTTTTTATTTTAGACAACTGTAGATAATACAACTATATAGGTACTTTTATACTTATAGATAAATACCACACATAAGGTACCTACAGACTACACATGTATAATTAATAATCCTCAATTATTGTTCAATTTACGGATGATATTTGTGCATGATATGTGTACAAGGCCGTAACTGGGGTTCCAGGGGTCCGGACCCCCCGATATTTTCAAAATAGAAACATTTTAGAGCTGAATATAGTTTATTAACTATAAATTGTATTAAATAATAATGTCAGACCCCTCCGAAATTTTTTTCCATTTGCGGCCTTGTATGTGTACAGTACATACATTTACTTCTAATAAAATTAGTGCAATTTAATTTAAATTTTTCATTCATCCTAATACACATGTATGTACTGTATGTTTATAAATAATTAATAAATTATATAAATTAAAAATAATTAATAAAAAAATTGTAAAAATATGTATTTATCCTATTGTGATTTTTAAAATTAAGAAATTAAAACCTAACCTCCTTTTTTACATTGATTTATGGTTTAATTATCTGCACAACTTCTCTGGAACGTAACCTCTGCGGATAACAAGGGATTACTGTATTTAACTGTCAATCATATCAACAATGGCATGTTGTATTAATTTTTTGTAAGGAACAAAAATTTCTTCAAAGTTAAGTTTTTTTTAACTCTAATTGTTTTTTAAATAATAATTATAAATGAAGTTATGATTTTAATTTCTATATATTTATGGGACATAAAATTAAAATTCATTAAAACCTAAGTATTGATGTTAGTATTTATTCATTTATAATTTATTATATCTTCTAAATGGATTCTAATAGTTGATTTCAGTATGACTCATTAATTATCTACATTAAAAAAAATATATCCTTCAATAATAATTTATAATTTTTATAATTATATATTAATGAAAATTATATTAAAAAAATTTAATATTTATAACTTTTTATTTCTTTAGGTTAGATGCACAATGAAATATTGTCATAGTGAATCAACCGTGCAGCTAAAAGTTACAGATAATATAACAGTAAGTAATTATTGCTATTTTTAATAATTAAATTTACTAATTTTTATTTTTAAATTGTACTTATTATATGTTTTGGAATAATATTAAAACTTTTTAACAATTCAACTGTTTTTGTTATACACTATTATTTATATAAAATTTGAATAATAAATAATTAATGTTTACATCCTTATTTTCAAAAATGAAATATCTTATTTTTTTTTAGTGCTTGCAGTTTAAAACAACAGATATACAATATGTAAAGAAAATAGAAGTGTTTTATGCTACAATAATGAAACAAATCACTTCATCTGAACTTTGAAACAATATGAATAATTGTATTTGTATTAAATTGTATAAGAATATTTTAACTCTAAAATTATATTGAATGCTTAAAATGTGTAATTATATAAGTATATATTGCCATAACATCAAAATATATAATACAGGTATATAAATAATAAAATGTAGATACATTCCAAACATGAAAGTGATTTATATTATCATTGATAATAAACACAATAAATAATAATGAATACTTAATTTCAAATATTAATTCATAGGTAATATTAATATTCATCATTGATCATTAACATTATATCAAGAATTATCTGTATTATAATATATGTAATCGTCAATACTACTCTGGTAACAAGATTTTCATTTTAATATACTCAGAGTATTGTTGTACATGTTCATATTGCCAATAAAATGTAAATATAGAACTATTTCTATACAAAAGCCAAAAATTGAATGTATTTATAGCTAATGTCTTAATTTTTGACATTATACTAACTTGAAGTTATAAATAATAGTTTTTATATTTGAGAGTCAAGTTTTTAGAGAGAAAAAAATTAGAAAACCCCTTTAACATTGTTGGATTGAATATTATATTTACTTCTATTTGTCATTTAATTTAATTTTTTAATTTTGTATTAAAATTTAATTAAAAAATAGATAAAGTGTTTTTATTTCATTTAACTATTTTACGTTTCTTGATTCTACAAATATTTGAAAGATATTGGTTATGGAGATATACTATGGTTCTTTTAACTTTTAGTAATCATAAAAATTACAACTATATGTCAATAGAGTAAACCTTCAACAACAATAATTCTCTCTCATTTAAATATTGAATGGAAAATGTTCAACTAAAACTACTAAGATTAAGTACCTTCTGTAATACTGTAACATGAATTGCAAATTTATAACTGTAAATAAATAAACCTTAACATAAAATGGAAAGGTAATACTTATTAGTAGGGTTCGGATTTGAAGGCAATATAATCAATAAAAAAAGCATTTAAAATATGAAAAAAGGCATTTTATTTACATAAAAAAAATTACTTCAAAATCAAATAGACTAACTACTTAGTAATAAAAAAAATTCACTATCATATTCTTAGATAAGCTGTTTCAGTAAAACGTTGATGGATTGGGCTTAAAATATTATAGGGAGGGGATGATGGGGGATATATCTTCCCCATGGGCTTTTTTTTTTTTAGTCTTAAATGTTTAAAAACGTAATTAAGAAATACGACGGAGCAGTTACGGTTAAATGGATTGGTGTTAATAAACATACATCGAGACATTCCGTTATCTACAGAACAAATAATTGTTGAATTTAGTGTAAAAGAAGGATAAATTTCCTCCTTGATTGCATTTTTTTTTTTCGTATAATAATAAAGAATAAAGATTGAAAATAATACATTTAATTTAATTTATAACATCCCCCCATACCAAATTCCTGCGCACGCCACTGTATAAAATCAATTGATTTGATCCATGCCCAAATAACTGAAAGTCGTTTATAAATGTATCCTATATATGTACATAATTATTGTATACATAATACTATTTTATATATCTAATTATAAAAAAAGTAATAGGTTCATAATACAAAAAAAATAAAACATTAATAAGCAATGAAAATTACTAACTGATTCTTACATGATCTAGATATGAATTATGATTAATTATTATATATACATATTATGATTAATATTCACAAAATAAATATTAATTATTTACTACTATTTTTAAGTTTTTATCTAGTATAAATATGTCAGCATATTGCATAATATTACTAGTCTTTTAATATATTTACAAGAATAATAATATTAATTTTATACATAATAAGTTATTATGTATTTCTATTTATTGTTAAAATTTAAAATTTGATATTATTTGCTGATATCTGGTAGGTCTTGCGGTAATCGTGATTCCTTTTAATCGCTGCTATTTCGGTACCCAGACTGTAGAATTGTGCTCTATCGGATGTTTTGGAGATTGTTATGGGCATTTTTAAATTGGGATATTTTCCAGTCTTTAAGAGAAGTATTTCTGTGTTGTTATAAATTTGCGTATTCCTCATGAATCATGAGGCTTTTAGGAATATTCTCATAAATTTGTTTTAGAGTATTTAGATTTTATTAATTTTTGTTGAAGAAACTACCTGTATTGAGCAAGTAATTTACAATAATTTACTTGTGTATAAGTTATAAATTATAAGTGTTGGATTTTTCACGATAAGCTATTTCAGTCTTAAACGTATATCAACTTTAGTTTCATACCGCTGTGGTTATAATACGTAATTATGTAATATCATGATTTTACTAAGAATTTTCAATTAAAATCCAATGGATTAAAGTTAAATGTCCAAAATCGAAGAGAAAACTAATTCAGATGCCCATCGTAGTAAATATTGGAAACCAATTTTATAAATATTTATTACTTAATCAAATATTATTCTTATTTAGATAAAAAATATTATACTTAAAATTGTTAAATAAAAAATTTTAATTCATTAATAGTTATCAAATATTTGAGTTGTATGGTTATTAGAGAGGATTGAGAGGAATGAAATGCCTCTATTGATTTATTTTTTATTAATGTGTTCCTAGGTTTGTTTGAATAACAATATATTTCCTAATATACAAAAGAATACGACCTAACATTGCTTCAAATTAAGTTGTTCGATTGGTTTCCAAAGTTTTTGATAAAGACGAGTGGATTAGTACAAACATTTTAAAATTTAAGTATTGTAAACATATATTTTTTAAAAGAAATAGACTTTTAGTGGATACCTAAAATTGAAATATCGTCTTTAACTGGAGCTGGGAGGGATTGATGAGCTTAGATAAATGGGGGGGGGGCATTTATCTAAGCTAATCAATTCATCAATGACAACATTTTAACACTACTGATGAATAGGGGCCTCTAAAATTAGTTTGCACCTGGGCCTCAAAATCTTAGTTACGGCACTGATATTTAACCACTTTTTCTTTGCATATTTGCATCATATTTGACACTTTTTAAATCCAGGCTCTAAAGATAATAATTGAATAATACAATTTGCAATTTAAAATTTTCGTATATTTTGCAAATTTACTGTTACGTATTAAATAATGTTTATATATATATATATATATATATATATATATATATATATATATAT